ATTTCTATTTGCAGTCTTCAAGGTCATCTGTTTTTTCCTTTTTGATAATCCAATCCTCCTTATTACTGGTGATGCCTCCCAAGATTGTGTCATCAGCTTATTTTATTGGCGCTCTCCTACTTTTTGTATTGAGGTTATTAATAAAAATATTCAATTATGTTGGTCTGAAGACTAATCCTGGAGGAGACGTCCACTAGTAAACTGCCAGTCTGCCTCCCCCTTTCAATGCTAACAGCTGTCAGTGTACCTTTAGACACTTCATTACAATTCTTATGATAATCCCCATCTTTTCCACATTTATTCCCCTACATAGCACTGTATCAACTGGTTCGCTGAAGTCTAGATAGATAAGTCCTACTAGATTTCCTCTGTTTTAAAAAATGAGTAATCACAGAAAACATCATGTTAGATTGCCATGATCTACCCTTTTTAGATTGATATTGTACTTTGTTTCATCTAACATTTATCTCCATGTCTGTTTTATTGTTTCCTTCAAAAGATACTCTAAATCCTGACCTAATATCAAGGGCACTGATGGCCCTGTAGTTGCTTGAATCACATTTTTCCCTTCTTAAAGCTATATATGTTCCATATTTGATATTCTCTAATCACGGTACCATTCCAATTTGAGAGATTTATTAAAAACTTGCTACCAAAGCTGTAATGTTATGTGCCAGTTTTGCAATGGAGATTATCAAATGCATTAAGCTCTTTGAGTTTTGTTTCCAGCTTGAATATGGTCACTTTAATTTCGGTTTCTATATCTTCAATCCTTTTAGTCATCCTGCCTATCCATATGATCTTTCTTGTCAAAAACTGAAGCTACAGAATTATTTTATTTCTGAGCCATACCTAGAATATTTTTCTACCCCCATCTTTACTGCCCAACAATCCTACTTCTTCATTCCTTGTTTTCTTATTTATATGACTGAAGATCTTTTTATTTCGTGATAACAAGATGTTACTCAGCTTGAATGTTGGCACATTTCCCTTATTCCCAAGTTTCTTGGTCTTTGAGACAGTGGCCTGGCTTAGGATATATGTTCCAGACAGTTTTTGTAGGAGAAAATAAGAATTGCCATTTACTGGGTCAGACCATAGGTCCATCTTGCCCAATATCCTGTGTCTCACAGTGGCAGAGGGTAGATACTGACACATAGCATGAACCTGTGTATGACCTGTGTATGACCATAGTATGACCTGTGTTTTCTTCTGCTGTTCCTTTTTCATGTGCAGCCTCCAGAATTTAAGGTACAGGATGTTCCAATTCAGAGGCTATATACCTAACCCCCATGCTCAATGACTACTGATGCCCCTTATCTCCAAGAATCTGTCCAATCTCTTTTTGAATCTGGCTAACCTGTCAGCTTCCACAACATCTGGTGACAATGAATTCCACACTTTCATTACATGCTATTTGAAAAAGAACTTCCTTTTATTAGTTTTAAACTTACTACCTACTAGTTTAATTTGTGACCCTTAGTTCTTGTATTCTAAGTGATAGTAAATGATAACTCCCTATTTACTTTCTCTTTGCCATATAGTATTTTGTAAACCCTTATGTCCCTCCTCAAGCTCTCTAGCGGAGAGCAGGGGTGTGGCCACACCCCAGCCAGGGGCAGTAGAGTGAGGTATGAAAGGGGGTTTTAATGCCCCTTCCTCCCCTCTCCCACAAGCACAGGACCCCAGCTGGGGTCTGCCTGGCAGGGGCACAGCAGCTCCTCCTAGGCTTCCTGCCCCATCTCCCCATTCCACTAGCTCACCTTTCGAGCAGAGGTGTGGCCAGATGCCAGCCCCAGATTGGCAGCCTGAGGTGAAGTGGGGAGAGGAAGAGGGGCTTAATTCCCACTCTCCCCCCTCTCCCACTGGCATGGGACCCCAGCCCGGGTCTGCTGGCTGCAAGTGTGGTGGGGGGAAGCCTGGGACGGGCTGGGGTCCTGTGGGCCATGGAGGGGGTTTAAACCCCTCTCCCTCCCCTCTACCTGAGGGTCAGACCTCTGAGACCCCTCTACCTGAGGGAGCAGGGGCAGCCCATGCCCCTGCTCCCTCCCCTCTAGTGAGGGAGAAAAAAAGTCAGGCAGGGGCTGCTCCTCCCACACCAGGCAGACTGGGCTGTGTCCCCAGCTGGGTTTCCCACCCCCAACCCATTCTCTGCCAGCCCTCACTGCTGCGGCTAGAGAGCAGAAGGGTGGGGGCAATCCTGCTCTGCTAGAGCAGATGGCACAGCCCAGCCCAGGGCTGCAAAATATCATAGAAAGCTGGGGACTGTTATTTAACTTGAAGCAGGAAGGGGCCTGGGACCAAAGTTCCATAAACCAGTTTGATCTAAATCAGTTATGTCTGATGCTACATTTAACCAGGTTTATCTTTAAACCAGTTTTGGCCATTTTGAAACTGCTTTATGTGCACTGATTTCTGTTGTTACAGGTTTAAACCAGTTTCTGATCACTTAAACCAGTTTATGTGTAACTTCTGTTCCTATCCAAAGTATGGATGCACACAGATTTGTAAAGGGGCATGATGATACTTTCAGTTTTGTTTATAATTCCCTTCTTAATAATCCCTAACATTTTATTTGCTGATGTTTTTAGCAAATTGTCCACAATGACTCCCAGAACTCTTCCCTGTCTGGTAACAGCTAATGTAGAGTCCATCATAGTATAGGTGTAGTTTAGGTTATTTTTGCCCAAGTACATCAGTTTACACTTATCTACATTGAATTTCATTTGCCATTAGTTCCCCAATTCCTCAATAGTGCCAGATCTATCTGTAGTTCCTTGCAGGGTGCTTTTGTCTTTACCACTTGGAATCTTTGACTTAAAGAAATTTCAAGCCTCTGCATTCAATTTCCTGTACTTCTCAGTCTAGTTGACTTAGTTCCTTTAGGGAGCATCTATACGTCACCCTACAGTGATGTAGCGATCCACTACATCACCATATGGCATGCTAAGGCAATGTAGTGATTAGTTGTATTTGTGCACGATCACCAACTACATCATTGTAATTACACACTCCCTGGGTATAGCTTAAGCATAAAGCACGGTGCTATAGCAACGTTGCCATACAGTGATGTGTAGATACGCCCTTAGTTTACCAAAATGTTCCCTTTTGGAGCCAAGATCCTAAGTTACAGACCTACTGTTGTTTATCCTTTTCTTAATATGAAAGTGAATCAAATTTGATCCCTCAATCCAAGGTTACTGTCTGTGACCAGTTCTTCTATAATGACCTCTCAGTACTTACCAAAACTAAATTTAAAAGTCATAATCTCTTACTGGTTCATTAACTGTTCGGTATTAATGACATTTTCTATCACATCCACAAATAAATGCACTCTACTTTTATTAGAAGCATTAGTCCTCTAATCTGTACCTTGAAAGTTAAGTCTCCCATAATGACATGATTCATGGTAATATTCAGTGGCGACACGTAGGGGGTGCACAGAGGTGCACGTGCACCCCCTGAGAGTGCTGGTGCACCCCCTGACTGGCAGCACTCGCCACTTAGGTGATGGGCGGGGGGGCAAATGTGCCCCCCCTGCAAGCACCGGCTGATGCTTGCTCCCAGAAGTGGCCGCAGTCACTCCTGGAAGTGGTCGTAGCGATCAGCTGTCCTGGGATCACCCGTGGGGCAGCGGGAATGGTCGCGGGGGTGTACATGCCCCCCCCTGACTAAGGCAGCACCAGCTGCCCATGGTAATATTGTTCTAACATTAGAGATCTCTGTCCACATCCAAATCCAGACATATTTCAATAGAATTACTTTTACATATTGCCTAGAATTGATTTGGGGCATGTATCTATTGTGATAGCAGCAAGTCTTGGCTGGCATGTTACCAAGTATGACCCATGCACTCTCTCATGTTCTCCAAACACAAAAATATCTCAACACAACTGCTCCAGGGCACCCCTCTGGAGCTTCTTACTAAGGTTTGGCCTCCATCGTTTTTGAGAGCAGCCAGTGGCGATGACCCTGGAGTGGCCTCACCAGCGTACTTCCAGATTGGGAGAATTCATGTCAGGGTGCGAACTAGGATGAATTTAGGAAAAGCCCAACCAAGCGTACGAATGTCATCATGTAGACACATCCTTTAACCTGTATTAGCCTTACTTATTTCTTGGCAGCCTAATATATCATTAATGCAGAAATAAAGATAAAGGTGGTAGGCTGGCATTGTCTTTTCTGAATAGAATGTTAGACAATCTCTGTGGGGAAAAGTGCTTTCTTTTTTTTTTTCTCAAAAAAGGACAGTTGGGCTGCCTATACACGTGTTCCTTGGCATTCTAATTAGAATGCTCCAGAGTCGCTGCAGCATCATGTGTATTAAGCCTCTGTGCATTTTAAAATGGCCATGGTGCGGTTTGTCAAACCTCATTTGATGAGATTTAGATAAAGCATCCCATGGCAATTTTTAAATGCATGGCAGCTCAATACATGTGACCCCAAGACATTTTAATTAGAGTGGGTCTCCAGGACATGTGCTAATTAAAATGCCTCCCACCCTGTTGCATGTGTATAGGCAGCTTTTAGGCCCATGATTTTGTCTAACATCTTCCAATTATAGAGATGGTCTAAATAAAGATCATCACCAAAAGGAAAAAAAAAAAACAAATCTCAAAACCCCTTGCTTCTCACATATTTCCTGGACCATCACAGCTACAACAACCCCCTCTTTTCTGAGTAGCACATACCATTCAAGTCATGACTATTCCAATTATAAATTTAAGCTGACAGGAGTACTCTGGTACACAGTTCTGTCATTTAACAGGGTGACTGTGCTCTATAAAGATAAGCTCCAGTCTTGTAAATATGTAACTTAACTGTATCTGTAGTAATTTGTGATTTATTGTATCAGGTACTCTTTTATGCTATGTCTCTTTGTCATGAGCTAGTAAGCAGCAGACAGTGCACAAATACCATCCCATTTTGGCACATGCTGCTATCAGAGTGCACTTTCTGTATTAAATGGTGATAAATTAACAACCCTTCTCACATCGCACCTTTAGGGTCAGCCTTACAACATTGCACTCCTGCAGTGGGTTCAGTTTCAGCGTTTCTCCAAGGTTGCTGCAGCCTGATGTTTGATGCTGCATTTCACAGCAAACACAGACACCATCACTGTCAAATTTAATCTGAAAAAAAATAAAACAGAGGGAAAAGACTTAGTGTTCCAAACCGTACCTGTTAACATTCCTATTTATATTTACCTGCAACATAAGAAAGTACTATCAGTGTGCGATAGGGATGTCCTAATTCACACTCATCATATAAATCTTTGCTACAGCCTTAAGTAAAATTACTCCTATTGACTAGTAGGGGCCATAAAAATGAAACTAGGAACAGTAGATACTGTTGAAAAGTAAGGGTGAGTTGGGTTTATTTTCAATGCCTTCTGTGAACTATTTAGAAGGCCACTGTTAGAAGGGAAAACTGGGAGTTACCGCACTACACAGAATAGATAAAACCAAGACAAATTAAGGCAGGGCAGAGGTGTACCTTATAAACTAATTGAATCAGAAATGCATAAGGTTTCATGGGCCACAGCTCATTTCATCAGATGCTATGAAAGGACATGGAGGCCGGGTCCAGATGGGCGCAGCCATGAGGTATGTGGCACCGCAGACATGTCTGTGGCAGCACATACCGCACATTCATTTGTTCTCCATGCTGCTGGATATCCAGGGCTCAAAAAACCCCAAAACAACCGAACAACACCTGGGGGGGGGGGG